TTCCTAGTTTAAAACAAAAACTATTTGTATGTCGTGTGCAAACTTTTTATTAAAGGCTAGAAGATTTTTTGAAAATTCATAGGTGCAAACTTTTTTTTATTAAAGGCTATAAGGTTAGATGTATATTCAAAATTTTCTTTAAAAAAAAATATTTTTTTTTTATTTGAATCAGAGCCATATACGAGTGCCCAAGATGCATATGTTAAAAGACTGCATGTTTAAAATATACTAAATACAAACCATGAATTTGATTAGAACCAGAAACTAGAATTATGGAATAACACATGTAATCATATACATACATACCTTTGTCTTTTGCAGTTGCATCGTACTAATGCAATTACTCATTTTGGCAGGAGACTTTGGACAACTTCAAGGATCAGAAAGACTTTTGGTATGTCCCAAGAGATGTTGAAGATACAGAGAACAATGGAGTGGAAAAGAGATGAGAACTGGTGGTTACCAACTGTTAAAGTTCCAGCAGATGGTCTGTCTGAAGAATCACGTAGATTGTTGCATTGTCAGAAAGATTCTGTTGCACAAGTCSTTAAAGCCGCAATGGCTATCAATGCTCAAGTATTATCTGAAATGCATATTCCTGAAAACTACATTGACTCTCTTCCAAAGGTTTTTATTGCTTTTCTTTCATGAGTTATCTTATAATAAATGTTTCTACTTCCACTAATTAAGGTAAAATATTCTGATCTATATAATGGTTTTGTTTTGTAGAATGGGAAGACAAGCCTTGGAGATTTCCTTTACAAGAGCATAACAGAGGAATGCTTTGATCCTGACTACTTCATTTCTTTCTTGGATTTGTCTACGGAATACAAAGTTCTTGATCTAAAGAACAGGATTGAAGCTTCTATGGTTATCTGGAAAAGGAAGATGAACCAAAAAGAGAAAGACGGGAAATCGCAGTGGGGATCCTCTATTAGCTTAGAGAAAAGGGAGCTTTTCGAGGTCCGAGCTGAGACTATTTTGGTTATGATCAAACAACAATTTCCTGGACTCCCACAATCCTCACTCGAAATCTCCAAGATTCACAACAACAAGGTAACTAGAACCGGTCCAACGTTTTCAAGACATGTTAATACTGAATACAAGTTTAATGTTATGGTGGATTTACAGGACGTGGGACAGGCAATCTTGGAGAGCTATTCAAGGGTATTAGAAAGTCTTGCTTCGAAGATAATGTCAAGAATAGAGGATGTTCTTGAAGCTGATCAACTAGCTCAAAGACAATCAATGGCAGAGGCAGGAGGACGATCGGAAAGCGAGGAAGAATCAGCATTTTCCTCGGAATATGAAGAAACCGAAAAGGTGGTTTCAGCGGAAACACCAAACTCGAGGAAACTATCAGATTTCATAGGTTGGCGATTGTCATCGGATACAAAGAAGCATAGTTCAATGAGTGATCTAGAATTCTTCCACAAAGCTGAGCAAGAGAAGCCAATGATGAAGTCTCCAATGAAGTCTCCGAGAGCTCTACCGAAGAAATTCTCATATCTAGCAAAGTTAGAGAACATGAGAAGTCCGAGTGACAGACACTGATGATAGAGATCAAAACAGGTAAT